ATCTTCACCAATGGTATGCGGTTTTCCGGGTTTTGCTATGAGTAATGAAATATTATAGGATGCTCTCAACCCATCATTGTTTTTTTGTGACGTTGAAGCCAACATTTTATCCAACGTGGGTCTGTTCCGAAGTTTTTCTTTAAGACCTTGAAAAAATTTCAAATCTTTATCAACATAATCAGGGTGACATCTCTTCAGATGATCTTGGAGCTTTGACGGCTTCATAGCGTCATTACCTAAAGTTTTGCTGCATATAAGGCATAATGGCAATTGCTGGTCCAATAATGATGGGATAAACCCAAATTTTAAATAATCAACATTGTACTGCCTGCATTTCTTTTTTGATTCACTCATGTTCTGTGGGGTTATCTATGAACAAAATTAATCCATTAACTTTTTAAGAATCTGGCAGTGCAATAATAATACTGATTTCTTAAAAATTAAGTACAAAACAACAAGTACTTATGTACTTATTATTAAGTACTTTTCTGGAAAACAAAATTTTATTCAATACACGAGACCAAAATATGTAATACGAAAGATTTGCTTTAATTTCAAACGGCAAAAAAATGTACAATAATGCTGAACGTAGCCTATATTGAATCGTAATACACTTTCATATATTTTGTTGTTTTTGTGTAGCTGACTTCGACAAAATATATGAAATTAAGAGAAAAAGTGTGCTACGCATCAATAGCGTACGTTCAGCATTTTACATGTATTTATTTGCCTGAACCAACCGTTTATTTTTGAATATTTTTTTACGGACGAAAAAAGTGACAAAAAAAACAAAAAAAATATATAGTTAAAAAACTTTATTTTTCTCTATTTTTTAAGCATGTATCAGTTGAAGTTCGAATTTAAGAAAGAAGAAATGGAATACAAAAAAAAAAAACAAATAATTTTTTTTTCCTTTTCATTTGAATTTTTCATTCATAATTTGTAAACGTTAACTTTGTACTCTGATTAATGTTTTTTTTTTCAAAATTAAAATTAAAAATAAGAAAAAAATAGCAAAAGTTTTATAGAATTTTACTTTTCAGTTTTGTTTTCTAGCAATATCTATATAATAATGTAGCATGTACTTACTGTTCTCCGTAATTCTCAGACAAAATTATATTATTTCACTTTATTTTAATTTAACAAACTTATATTTTTACTTTTTTTTTCAAAAAATCATGATTTTATTACATTCTAAGTAATCTAAAAACACAAGCAATTAATATGCCAATTTCTATTTTTTTATTCTCCAACTAAAACAGTTCCATTTCCACTATATTTCAGTTTATTATTCTTTTCGAAATTAAATTTCAAATTCGAAAAAAAAAAAACAAAAAATTTTCTATCTTACACACACAGTTGAAGTGGGAGTTTAAACGAAGGAAGAAACGAAATGAAAAAAGTAAAACAAATGAAACACACTTATTTTTTTTTCTTTAATTTGAATTTTTTTTATGTTTTTCAGTTTTTTGATTTGAATTTTTCGTAAAAATATTTTTCCGTTTAATTTGAATTTTTGGTTTATAAATGAAAAAGCATATTGTCTTTCAAAAAGGGAATTTTTCATTGTATAGACCCTCATTTTCATTTCGTAGACCCCCATTTTCATTTGATAGACCCCCAAATTTTTTTTTCACCTTCGTAGACCCCCAGCAGGTCTTCGTAGACCCCTGGGGGTCTATATAGACCACTTTGGGAATCACTGATCTAAATTAAAAAATGTGTAAACATTACTTCATATATTATATTTACATACATACATATATCTTGCTCGTATATTTGTGTGTATATTTGTGTGTATATGAATATAAATATGTGAAATCTTAAAAAATAACTTGCACATGTTCATGCTCTAGATTTTAAGATTTTAATACAAATAGTAGTGCATTTATACAGTGACCGTCAAGCTTAGTTTGGAGAATAAGATATCAAAAGTTTTAGAATATGAAAAAAAATCATTCAAATTATTCAAAATTTAAGACTAATTCAATTTTATAAATGGTTTTAAAATGATCAAAATTATGTTTTTTTTTAAATAATTTTGATATCGTTAACTAAGTGCGGCAAGATTCGCTGGACCCAACTTGGCATTAGCACAAATGTTTTGCCTTTACCACACGTAACTACTCGATCGTCATCGAATTTTGTATTTCAAATTGCTTATCTAAGACATCCGGTTCATCTTTTGAAGAAACTGTCTAAGTCCCAGTGATTAATTTTCAATATTTTGTCCGGTTCCATCAAAATTATCCAGCGCAACAGGTCTCGATGCATTTCGGTCTTGATGATTAGCACTCGTAGCGATAGTGAAAATAGTTTACTTTTTTTAAGTTTGACCATCCCACAGTTGCGATACGCCGAATAAAAGAATAAATTTAGCCGTCTGTTCTTAAACCGTTGAAAACTTAAAAATGTTAATGAAACTGAAGACTCTATATATTCTTTCCTTTCTTTCTACAGTAACGTTCTCCACAATAGCAACCCAAAAATCGAAAATTAAGTTTTCGGGAAATTTACATTTTCTTGTTTTCTTGTCTTCATAATAGTACAAACATGAGCAAAGATAATTATGATGTTTGAATTAGATGAATATGAGGAAATTTTTGGTATGATTTAGATTTTATGGTTCAAAAAATAATCCTCCTTAAAAATTTTCAGGATGTAGTAAAAAGATATAAAAAAATATTTATTTTAGTTCTTTAATAAAATGTGTTTAGGAAAGAAGGAGAGCGTGGGTATTAAATTAATGAAATAATTAATTAATTTTACGGTCACGTATAAATTATGTAAAGAGAATAAGAAGTGATTATGTTCTAAAAATTAAGTCATATTATTTTTGAAAATCGATCAATAGATATAAAATTTAATTGAAATTATAATATTGCAAATGAAATGTGAAGAAAAGTTTTGTGTAGTATTTGTCGTATATTTTTATTAATATTTTAATGTGCATTTTAAATAGCAATATCGAAAATAATTTAAAACAATTGTGAGAAATTTTTACATATAAAAATGTTTTTGGTGTTCAGTTCCTTTTTTTAAGTTCCTTAAGACTGAATCAGATATAATTTACGTCTATGTGAATGTGCGCAAAAAGAGTTTAAGTAGGTAATCCAGAAATCTTGAATTCTACAGAAAAATTTACATGCTTCCTATCAAGGATAAATATTTTCAGCTAGTGTCTGGGGAGGAGGTTCGCACACTGATTTTTATGAAGTATAGATAGGTATATAATATTTATACTTCATTATTCTTATTTTAACATAGATCCTTCAAGAATATCGAAAGTATTATATAAATTTCTATTTCTCAATTTTATAACAATTAACAAAAACAAACAATAATTTTTGGAAATAAATTTTATTTGCCTATTTTACAACACTATGCTTTTAGCATTCTTTCTCAATTTTTGACTTCTAATGCACATTTCTTATTTTACTTATTTAGAAGTACAAAATGTTGAATAAATTTTTGCCTAATTTTATAATTACTCAGAAAATTAAAAGAGAAAGAAATTAGGTCAACAAGTTTGTTTATTTTTTAAAATATAAAATAAAATACCCACATAAATTTTAAAAATTTCTTTTTAAATTTTATAAAAATATAAAAGAAATTTTTATTTTTAAAGTCTCATTTAATAAAATTTTTTCAGTAATTTGCTGCATTAAATTTTTTTCTGTTTTGTTTCCGCATTGTCCTTTCCTTAAATTTTACATATTATCATTTCTTGATTTTGAAAATACGTTTATGTAGATTGTAGTCCATTTTGCAAAATTTATTATCACTTGTGAAAAATACAACCTTTATAATTTAATTTTTGGCAACAAACATATCTATATACAGGTACATTACAGAATAAATTGAAATAAATATTCTGAAATATGCGCTATGTTTTGCTATATAAAAAATATATTAAATGCATCTAGAGTATTCAGTCAATAAAATTATAATATTTGTAGTGAATCAATACAATTTTAAAATCTTGAATGTACATATTTGATTTTTGTTCCTTTTCAACTTTAAAAACTTGATTTCCTGAGTGAATTGAACTATAAGAAACTTTTGTTTGCTATTTATATTATATTTGATTTTATTAAAACTTCATAAGTATGAAGGACAAATTTATATGAGATTTATTGAGTCACCGTATATTAAATGTGTCTATTCTGGAATTCACGTATTTAAGTAAAGAAATTATTTTAATGACATTTTAAATGTGTATCTACATATATAAAGTACAAAATTTTATTGTCATTGGATTATTAAAAAAAGTATATATGTAAATAAAACTGTAATACCTTTTACAGTATATAATGTGTATGAATAAGATAAATTTTTGTTGAACCTACAAAGCTTTTTCACATATCCAGTTTGGGCGATGGGTTTAACTTTGAAAATGTGGTGAAAATATGGTCCATGACGACGGTTTTTGAATTAATATTTTTTTTCAATTAAATTTGTGTACAAACAAAAATGTTGAATAACAATTGAAAAAATGTACGAAATCAGACAGTAAAAATAAAATTATCTGCTCTACAAAAGAACAAAGAAACTCAAAAACATTAAAATAGTTTGAAAAATTCAAGAGACCTAAAAAATAATTTCATTAATAATAGTGGTTTCATTCTTGTCTGAGTTCTTTCTATTCAAGTTCAATTGTATTATTTAAAAAAATTTTCTTTTACATGAAAAAATTTAAGGAAGACTTTTTGAATAATTCGAATACTTTTGAATTTTCAAGAAAATCTCGAACCAAATACTTAGTTAATCAATTTAGTTTTAAGCACCAATTTGGAACTTTTCAAAATATATTCTTGTTTTTAATAATATCAATTTGATTTTAATTAGCTAATCAAATAAATCAAGAAAAGTTTTTAATGTTATTCTTTATATCTGTATTTTTATTGTATATAAATTAATTGAAAAATATTTTAAATAAAAATTTTTCTGGTAAAATATAAATAAAAATTAATTTTATTTTTTTTTTCTTATATTTTTAGAGAAAAAGTGCAATGGGAAAATGCTCATATACTCGTACATATACAAAGAAAATGCTCGACCCAAATGAATAAAGTATTTTAAAACTAAATTTTTTTTTTCATTGTTTTTTGTATTTTGATTTTTTTCCTTACTAGTATATTAAAAATGTTCGAAAAGTAAGAAAATTAAAGAGAAAAATAATAATAATAATAAAAGTAATAAAATAACCACAAAAGTTAAAAAAGAAAATAAAATAGAAAAAAAAATAAAATGTAAATAACAGAATTTTTATGGTCCTTTATCATTTGTTTGTATGTACTTGTATTGTAATATTTAAATTTAATTTAAACCAAAAAAATTCTACTAATTTGGTTTTTGCAATTCAAATTTTCAATATTATGTTATAATATTCTTATTTATACATATATACATATGCATATTTATATATATAAGTAATTTATCTAATTTATTTTTTTATATACCTAAAAAAAGTATTTATGTCATTAAAAATGTGTTCAGTTCAAGGAATTCGTAATGAAAAACCATTTGAATTTAAATTTAAAAAAATTAATTTGGAAAAGAAAAAAAAGTGAAAAATAAAAGTTATAATAAAAAATAAAAATTCAAATTAATAAAAAAAAAGCAAAATAAAGTTGTAGGTAGGTTATTTAAAAAAAAAATTTAAAATTTGAAAATTTAAAAAAAAAGAAAAAGGACGCAAAGAATAAAATTTTAACAACAACAAATTATCATTATATTTCGTATGTGTATGTATATGTTTTGACAAAAAAATATACATATTCATATTGTAATCATGAAGAAATCATATAGAGAATCACAATAATTTTCAAAGAAAAATAAAATTAAATACACACACGCACGCATTTAAGTACATATTCAAAAAAAAGAAGAAGAAAAATAAAGAAAAAACCAAAACAGTATAAAATTAAAAATATTTTCAATAAAAATATGACATCTAATACACATTATATATGTATATACATGTATTAAAATTTGTGATATTAAAATTACAAACCAAAAAAATTAAACAAAGAAAATATCGAAGGACACAAACACAGCTATAAAAATTGTAATAATAAGAAATTTAAAACAACTATATAATAAACGTATTCAGCGAATCGACTATCAAAATGCAGAAAGAAAATAACGCACCAGCTGAAAGCCATCAATATGTTGGCCCATATAGATTAGAGAAAACATTGGGTAAAGGACAAACTGGTAAGTTTGGTATTTCTTTTCTTTAATTTTTTTTTGATTATTTTGTTTTTTGTTATTCTTGTAAAGTTAAAAACGATATTAAAAATTTTATTATTTTCCTATTCTTGTTGTTAAACAAGTTTTAAAATATTTGTTATTGGTATATGCTAATTCAGAATATTACCAAAAAGAATTTATAAAAGAAAAAAGACATGAGTAAAATTGAAGATTTAGTTGATTTTTTATCTATGGTTTAAAAATCTGTATATATCTATTGACTTCAGTTATATAGCTCATAATATATATATATATATATATATATATAATAGTTTTCATGGATATTATATCAAATTATTACGTGTGTAAGTAAAATTTATTCAGATTGCAGAAAAAATGTTAAAAATATAGCAAGAAACGAAAAAAATAGAGTTGACCGTGTCAACTCTGTGATACCCGTACGAACTTGTTGTACTATATGTGAATAAATATGCCATAGCCGACTATAGGACAGAATATGACTTTAAGTTGCCGTTTACCATATTAATTTATGCGAAATTTCAGTACTGTGTTTTTCAAAATTTCAATATTTTCTATGAGAAGCTAATCAAGAAATTTCAATGATTTTTATCCCATATAACAGCCCTAATAATACACTTATTTTGACGTGATTTCTATATTATAATTTCAATAACTTTTGAGGTAATGCCAAATAACTTTTGGAGTTGTATTGCTGCTACCAAAAAGAGCCCGGTAATTTCAACGACATTTGGCACTTTTAATATATTCGTTTGTGTGAAATTTCAATATTACAGCTTTTATAGTTTCTGAGATATACTCAAATAAATTTTGAAGTTGTGTGGCAGCTACCCAAACCAGTATCCCGGTCATTCGCAATTAAAATAGGGTTCTGGCATTTACTATAATAAATCATTTGTGAAAATTTGGTGAACTTAGCTTAATTAGTTTTTTGAGTTGTCGTTGGGACGGACGAACGGACGGACAGACAAAGTTAAATCAACTCAGAATTCGACGCTGATCAAAAACATACACTTGAATCTATATCTCAGACCGTTATTTTTTAGCGTTACAAACGATAAGGCAAATTTAGTATACCCTACGAAAATACATTCGTTCGGGTATAAAAAGCTGCTATTAAAATTGAATCTTTACTTGTAGTAATTGTGTGTAATTGAGTTTCTGCACTCTTTATTATTAGAAAGTGTACATAGTGTCACAAAATTCGATGTCTTCATTTCACTTTTAATGCTTTAGTTCTTCCATATTTCAAGTTTATAGATGCCTTCTTAAATATCCTATGAAATTGTTGAATATTTAACTTATTTCTTCAAACTTTTGGCTAGAAATATGCAAATTTGTATATGTTTTTTCTGTAGATACATTTAAATTTATTATTAGAAATATGCAAGTCACTTCTTTGTTAAGTTTGTCTTTCTGTTTGCAAAACTTTAATTTTTTAAGTATTCAAGTAATTTAAATAAAAATTGGAAATCTGTGTGTGTTTTTTTAAGGTTTATGAAATTTCTTACTTAAATTGAACATGACCACAGATTGCAGCTTTTGAAGCAAATATTGAACGTATAATTTTTATTCCGACAAAAATTTTAAGTTAGCAAAAAATTTGATAAAAATTTAATTTTTCGAATACTAGAGACGTTCTTATGGGTAACTTTTTTTTAAAATAAAAACCAAATGTGAATTATTAATTTGTTGAGTCAAAAAACAAAAATTCTTGCGAGTTTACAAGTTTTCCATGTTTTTGTTTTATTTAGAGATGAAATGCTTACAAAATAACCCTATATTTCACTAGTTATTGATATTATTGAATAGTGGTTGTCAACTAGTTTCAAATACTGTGAATAATTGTATGCTCTACTATATACAGTATTTCCTGAAATTTTAACTTAAAATAAAATATTATAGCGTTTTTTTTTCAAGTCTATTTTTTTCCAACTTTTAAATTCATTTCATTAAAAAAAACAAAGAAAAAATGCATAATATGGCATAACAGTGTTTTATTTCAATGTTTTTCAAACATTCAGCTGTAATAATTGTAGGTACTTACTGAAGGTCAAAATCCATATGAATTGCTTATTCAGAAATATCAGAAATAACGAATACATGCACTCGTGGGTTAAGCATCATTATTTTATTTTTGATTTGCTTTTTATTGCAAATTTATTTTTCGCACGCTGTTTTATTATAAAAATGAAAGAAAATTTATTCAAGTTTTTCATTTACGAGAAAAGAAAATTAATATTAAAATAATATTGTTTTTTTTTTTTTATTGAGGAAGGGTTGAATGCCATTTTGATTCTTTCAAAAATATAGTCATAATATATTTTTTATGATATTAAAGGCGACAGGATTTGTTTTTATGAGTTTTTTAATGATTTGTCTTGTGAAGTTCGCAAGAAATTTAATTTATTGATTTCATTTGATTTAAAAATAGTGTGTTATATGCACATAATAAATTTATTTATTTATTATGGAATCATTTTAAGAGAATTTTTTATTTCGAATGAAATTATTAATATTCTTTTGAAAAATTTTTATAGGCTTACAAATACAATTGTTTTAGAATTAAAAATTTTTTGAATTTTAAAATATTCTAAATTGAATACTTTCTAATACATTAAATATTTCTTGGAAAAAGGTAAATTTAAAGTAATTTGAATTTTTAAAATAGTTATTAATATTCTTACACTACAAGTTATTAATTCGTTGATAAAAACCGGAATTCCTAAATATTTGAAGAATATTCAAGAATTTTTGAATTTTGCATAAATAGTTGAAATACTTTTTTTTTAAACTGATTTCCAATTTTAATAATTTGGGGACATTAAAAATTTTGTCTATAATGTAAAAGTATTTTCAATAAAAATTTTGCATACTTTTAGGTTAAATTTGTAATTTCTGCTGTGTGCAGCATAGCAATATAATAATATTGCTTATCTGTGGGTGGAATTGCTGAATTTTTTTTTCGTTTACAAATAAAAAAAAGAGATTTTCCATTGAAATGAAAATATACATATATACAAATATAAATATGTAGCTACATTAAAAAGCGTCTTATTAAAATTTTAACGTTCTCTATATTATAAAATAATTGTAATGCATAATATTGTATACGTGCACGACCTTAATAAAGTTTAAAGACGTTTTCGTTTTATGCAATAAGTTTTTGCGACTTATGAAAATGTTTTGAGATTTGACAAAAAAGTTTTGTATTTATTTATATATAAAGAAATTGTCTATATAGCAAAATTATATGCTATGCAATAAAGAGCTTTTCTACGAAGCGAAAAACATTAGGAGGTCTATTATATTCAAAAAAAAAAGAAAAATAAGGAAAGAAAACGCCAAACACAGCAACATATTTTTTTTTAAATATATGAAATACATCCAGAGGGGAAATAAATGAAATTCTCCCTTTTATGTATACACTCAAATGAATAATTATATCTTCCATTTTCCTTGTTTAAATAAGTAGCTTCTTGTTTTTATTTTACTGCAAGCATATAATTTTTGATGCTCAACTCTTGGGGGTTATAAAATGAAAATGTTACTCAACATTTACGATGTTTCTTTTTTTGTTTTTGCTATTTTGTTTGTTGTCGTTTAGTTCCTCCTCCAAAGTTTCTTTAAAAAAAAAAATTATTTTAAGAATTGTTTCCTTTTTAACATTTAGTAATGTAGAGCTTTCAGAGTAGTATAATAAATTTTTCGTATCGTTTATGATATTAAATTTGATCTTTACTAAAATTGAATACTCGACCTTTTTTAGTAAACTTAGTTGCGATCTTGACAGACCGATATTCTTAAAAGCTATCAAATAAAAGTCGTAAAAATTTTTAAGAACTTTCGAAAGATATGCCATCAGACCATTAATTGAATTTTTTGAAAGCCTGACTGAGACTATGAGCGTGATTCTATGATTCATTTTCAGTACTTAGATTGGCTCCGTAAAAATATGCATATAAAGCCTATACTCGTAGTTCTTCGCGTTCTTTAATGTTTAAATGCGTTCGCATTTGTTTAATAACAAACGAAGTTTTGAGATGAAACTTTATCTTTTCTTAAAATAATTATACTTCAGTAAATTTTTGAAAATGAAGATTTTCACAAATTTAAGAAAATTTTGTATTGCATTTGCTTGCATACGTTTTCATTTATGCATGAGCATACGAATCAATCATCGAAGAGCTGAAGAGCTATGAAATTTTGATATAGTAGGAGTCATTTCTTATAGCGTTTCCAAATAAAATCTTGATTTTAGAGCTTATATTTTACGAGTATTATCTTAATGGCCATTTAAAAAATTGGGTTCTGATCTATCATGCATCTTTCTTGTGGTTTATTTTCCTTGTTATGTAATTGAATGTGGTCAAATTCCACTTACACAATTCTTTGAAATATAAGGTTGAATGTTTTAAATATGTTCTGAAATTCAACTATAACTTTGCTATTGCATCTCGCATTATTGTTTATTCGTAATAATATAAAAATTCCAAGAATTTCAAAATTTCTAAGCCAAAATTGAGAAAGCTGCGGCTATCACTTTTTTCTCCCCAATTCTTTTTTATTGTTATCTCATGGTTGGTTTGATCAATTTTAATATTACCTCATAATATTTTTATTGTTCATTTTTCATTATATAGGTAGATCTACATATTTTCTTTATTATTCTTTCAATTTATATTATGTTTCGCTCGCTGAAATCACTTTGAATAATTCTTAAATGTTTTCTTAATTAAATTATACCAGTTATAATGTCAAATGCATATAACCGGTTTTTATTACATAATAAAAATGAAAATAATAAAAATAAAAAAATCAAAAATTAAAGCTCTTAAAGTGCATTGAACTAATATTTGTCTGTCTTGTCCATATTTTGAAAAGAAAAGATCATTGTGAAAGAAATCGTATGCTTGATAGCTTGATTTTATTAGTGTATGTGTGAACTTGCATATCAATATGCAGAAAAGTTAAGGCATCTTTGG